GAGCTGTACGAGTTGAGGAACTGTCTCCCGGGCTTGCAATCGCCGTTCATACCTTGGGGACAAGAGTTCCCACCTTTGCGTCAGTCCTTCGGAAAGCGAGACAGAGGTGTTACAAGAACAATACCTGTCGAGCGGCTTGAAGCTGGCTCGAGTGTGTCCAACAGCAGGATGTTTCTGGCCAGGGATTGAGTCAGACTATTCAGCAACGAGCAACGAGCTGACCCATGCCGAAAATAATTGTTGTGACCGCTTTGGCACTAATTGACCGCTGACAAAGTTGTCCATCACTGTCTACTCCTCAGGCTGCACCCGACGCCTCCGAGTCAGACCAAGACTCGATTTCCTCCTCCTCGGCTCCCTCTCCATCCACCTTGACATAATTGCCAATGTGCTCGCTTGTGAGCAATGGAAGCGGGTGTTCTGACAGCGGCTTCATCGGCCTTGCACTCTGGGCAGCTGCTGGCCCCTGGTCGAGCACATACAGCGACGTAAGGGCTCCAATCTTGCGGGAATGTGAGGGTTTGCCGGCAGGATTGGAAACAGGCCGTGCTCGGGCCTTGTTGACATCGCTACGCTGGCGGCGCTGGTGTGGCTGGGGCAGTTCTAGCCCAACAGGCAGGGCGAGCACGGGCTTGAGATTGTTGGGGTGGAGGACAAGTTCCTGCACAGCGGGTATTGCAGACTTGGGTACAGGACGTACAGCGTGTCCGGAGCTCGTGAGCAGATGCCGGAAATTCTCAGGGTTGTACTTTGGTCCCCTGACTGTAAGCGGAAGTGGGGGGAGAGCGGCCGCAGCTATGACGTGCGGCAGGACACTCTCAGGGTCATGCAGAGCACGGGCACGGACATCGGGAGGTGCTCTGACAAATCTGAGGGTGCCGCTCAGCCAGAGGTCTTTGAGTAGACGGAGGGGCCTCACGCCACCCTTGATGTTGCTGAGGTTAGTGAATGGAATATGCCATGGCCAGCCATCCAGTGCCCAGCCCAAGCACCAGATGATCACTCGGGCATACTCCTCAGCGCTGTAGCACATGCACATGTCGGAGATGCCCGTGATGGCAGCTGCAGAGAGATAAGATGCGTGATAAGGCCTTGATGCGATTGACAGGATGCTTACCAAGCTTTGCGTCAAGGGCATTGCGCAACTCGGCTCGGATAATGTCCCTCGGGGGCCTGGGAGTCTTGCGCTGCAGCTCAGAGTAGCATGGGACGAATGGAATGAAGGTGAGGGGCTTGGATGCAGCTGGCATGACTGGAGATGTTGGATCCAGATGTCCAGAGTGTATATTTAAATAGGATATCATTTTTGCAAGAATGCGCACATCTGAGGCCCGCTAGCATCCAAATACATAGCAGTGTCCGAGGGAAGCTACTCTGTGTGCCGACATTGACCCTGAGCCAGTTCACAGGTCCTTCCAGTGCCCGACTCCACAGGCTGTTTCTGCCGTTCTCCGTCTTTCAGACTCATAGGCTTCCTGGTCGCAAGCGGGGCGCCCGGCAGTCTTCTGGCAACAGAGACAATGTTCGGCAGATTCAAGGTTGTGCATGCAAATCTGGAGCACTGCATGATTCTGGTTTGAGTGGTTGGATGAAGGCGCAAGCCTGAGAGCAGGCAAGGTGCAAGTATAAGTTGCACCAAAAGGTAGGGGGCTGTTGGAAATTCATTTGCTTTCCCATGAGGTGGTGTTGTGAGCGAGTGGATCTGAATCGGACAGGACGCCCGGCAGATGTCAGTACTTGTGTGACCGCCACTGGCAAATTTGTCTTGTGTGTGTGAGCTGATTGTGCGTTGCCCTTTCCTGCGGTGACGCCGGAACAAGTTGAAGTGGCCGGCTGGATGATTCTGCGGAATGCGGGGAGGATTGTAGACAACAGAAATGTGTTGTTATGTACTCTACGGTGATAATACACAACTTGTGCTATCGACAGTACTAGGAGCACCTACCTTGATTTACACAACAGTTTTCTCAAGACAATACTCGTCTCGTTCGCTTCCCTGAGCCAGACGAGATGCCATTCTTCATGCATCTGCAAAGTGGTTGCTCGTTTTCCACCACATCCGTCACCTGTCCTCCACAATTGATTTGCTGCCTGCATGCAAAATTCAGCTCGAAACAACACTCCCACCGGTCTTCTACGATGTGCACGCGAAATACATATTAAAACGACGCTCCCATTACTCACCTTCGCACCCATCTTCCGCAACGCGCGCGCAAAATTCAGTTCCCCACAACCATTGCTCACCTCCACATCCGTGTCCGTGTTTCTCTCCCTGGCATCTCTCCCTCTCCGCTACTCTCTCTGGCAGCCCCTTCGCGACCCTGCCTCCGAACGCCGCGCACAGACCTCGGCACCAACAACAGAAAGAAGACGCACCTCGCTTCCGGTCCGCCGACGTGTGTATACACATCATACCCGCCTCGGCTGTCCCGTCAACCTCGATCCACCCGTCAACCTCCGCCTCTCCCGACTCGGTCGCGAAGAGACGGCACTGCTTCACAATCGAGTTCTCTCCCTCCGTCAGCTACCTCACCTCATCTACTCGCCCTCCTGTCTCTGTGGTGATTGTCGGGCACACCGCGTTGACTCCGCATCCACACCATGAACACCTTGCCTCCTGATCACGCTTTGTGAACCAAGGACCCACGCAGGCCGTACGCCGAGTCTACACCCACTTCCGCCACCCGCTCGCGTCCCACCCCTTCTCGAACTCCTCGGCCGAGAACTTCCGCACGGCCCACGTCCGCGCCCGCGTGCGCATCGCGAGGTCCTCCTCGGCCGACAGCGTGAGCACCGTGCGGAACGCCTCCGCGAACGTCTCCGGGGTCGTCGCGTGGAACCCCGTCGGCTCGCCCTCGAACGGCACGACGATGTCCAGCAGCGGCCCGCCCGACGCGTGTGCGACGACGATCGCCCCCGCGGCCTAGAAGACGAGTGAGAAAGGGGAGCTCAGCGAGCTGTCGTACCAGGCAAGCTATCGTGAACTGCGGCGCACCATGAACTCCACGATGTTGATCCCAAAGTGCTCGTCCACCATCGTCCCCAGCCCGATGCTCGCCCGCCCCAGCCAGCCCAGCATCTCCGCAAACGACGCGTTCACCACAAACCGCACCTGCTCCTGCACCCCGAGCTCCCGAGCCAGCGCCCGGAGGCCCTCCACGCGCGTCGCGTCCCCGACGTTCCTGCTCCCGCCCACAAGGACGAGCTGCACGGCCGCGGGGTTCGGCGCCCTGTACTCCGGGTACCGCTCGAGCAGCTCACGGAACGCGTGCAGCTGCGCGGGGTGGTCCTTCTCCGGCCGAAACTGCGCGATGCTCAGGATGACGCGTTCGCGGGGCGCGAGGGGGAGCGCGGCCATCTGGTGCGTGTCGCACGAGGGATACACGATCTGCGCCTCTTTGGGGGACGCGCTTCGGCGGCGCGAGAGGAGCGAGAGGAGGACGAGCGGGGGGAGGAGGTGGACCGCGTCGAGGAGCGTGTCGGAGTATTGCAGGATGGAGTCGACGTGGCCCTTGGTCCACGAGGAGTTGACCATGATGAAGCGCGCCTGGCGCAGGGAGTACGCGTAGTAGTACATGAATATGCGGTAGTACCTGCGGGCTACGTGCGTCAGACGCATCACATACGGGTCAGACCCAGGCGCGACGCGGGTACGCACAGCAGTTTGCCGGCGCTAAGGACGGGAGATGAGGAGATGACGCCAGAGTTGGTGTGTCCTGCAGCGCGGTTCTTCACGCGGGACACCATTGTCGTGCTGATCGTGGGGTAGTGGACGTATGCGCCGACGGGAATGATTCCCAGTAGTGAGACGACCGGGAAGGTGAATGCATACCCCATAGTGTCTGCACGGCTTGTTATGACGACGCCTCGAATTTGAACCGGAACGCATGCGCACCGATGAATAGGTCTGGTATGAGGATTGACATGGCCTCCCAGACGAGGTACATGGAGCCGATACTCTGACCCAGGAGGGTGAAGCGAGGCCATGTCGAGTCTTCGACTAGATACCGAGATTCCAAGAAGACAAAATGAAGGGATTGAGGCGAGAGCTCGATGTCAAATCTTGCCTGTGTAGGGTGAGTGTGTGGGACGAAGCAATGCGGGTGCGCCTCGTACCTTCACTTTCTCTATGATCTTCTCCTTCGTTGTGTCGGTGTCTCCACTGTAGACAACAGAGATGATGTCCGGCTCTTTTCGTTGGATGGCCGACACGGCAGCCCACAGGACGCGCTCGCCCCCGCCTCCGGCGTTACTTGACAATGCTACGTGAGATGAGAGCTACATCCGCTACGCTACGCCTCGCGATGCTCACCAATATGGATGGAAGAAGCCTACGATCTTCTTCGCGCTCTGTCCCTCTACCCCAAGCTCAGAGAATAGCTTCTCCTTCTGGTTGACATTTCTCCTGCGCAGTCCCAGTATTTGGCCGATCGTTTGGGCGACGAAGAGCGCGAACAGGAAGCCGGTAAGGGCCAAAATCATGGTGTGCGAATGCAAGAGATAGGATGACCCTATAGCTCAGGTCAGAAAACCAGAAAGGAGGGAAACAGAAAGCAGCGTGAGCAAGAAGAATAAGGAGGAAGGAGACAGCGTTCAGCCACCGACGTCGCCAGCAGATAGTGTACATGGCAGAAATGTTTTCGGCTATTCTGCCGGCAGATATGGCAGATATGGCAATTGCCAAGGTCGGCAGAAACTGGCAAATATTTAAGCGCCTCCGTGGAGAGACATCCAGTCTGGAGTAAGTTCGCCTTGACATACATTCGTCAGAGTGCCTGAGGTAGTACCCGCAGCTCTTGGAAGCTTACCAGTCGGCTTCATATGAGTCTTCCCAGATTCCTGAAGGGGTGTAGCGCATCAAGAGCGGTGTAGGCTGTTCCTCATTGTTTTGGCGCCGGATACACTCACTAGAGAACAAGGTCAGACCACTGAGTATCGTCCGGGGTCCACAACACGCGGTGCTTTGGCAGCCAGCACAAACTAGTACTTTCACAGAGCTTTCGATGAGTACCCAGGCGTCAGAAGCCCGCGGGAACCGCCCCCTACGACCATTTTCTGGCATGGGCGCTAATGACATCTGCCAATATTTGCCAGCGTAGGTGTCACAGTTTTCTCGTGCCACGTGACCTGGGGGTCATGTGAACCAGGACAGACGCTCACCTCGACCACGGACAACTCGTATCGGAAAGTGGAGGAGCCAGGATCGAACCCAGGGCCTTGAGGGGTCCGGGAGCGCCCATCTTCACTCACGGACAGGTGACCTACATGCCAGCAGGGGGCGCTTACTCATGAGCAGGAGTCCGGACTTGGCATGACTCAGGTGTTAGTCATGAGGACACCATGTGACAGGTCAGGAGACAGGACACGAGTCAGCAGACTCTGACCAAGCAGGGACAAATAGGTACCTGGTCTGTGCACCGTTGTAATTGTATAAATAGTAGGGGGTCTGAGGCAGGGAACCTCAGACTTGATCTTCTCGTCGATCACCCATCTCTTCTGTAGGTAGCTAGCAGCCCTA